CCAGTCTGAGTGGGGTTCCTCCGTTACGTCCTCCCCAGGGCCCTCGCTGCGACTGGTACCCGCGCATGCGCACTGACTCGGGCGCCGGTCGGGCTCGCGCATCTCACCGGCAGGGTTCTGAGCACCGGGTGCTCTGCTGGCCATGAAAATACAGGGGCTCAGCTCCAAACCCACTCAAAAAACACTCTCAACAAAGAAGAGCTTCCTATTGAATATACCAAACTAGTTAATGTGCCTCCTTCACTGTGAGCAAGAAACTGTGTGGTGACCCGACCAGTGTGCTCGTCCCAACATCAAAGCAACCGGGTGGCCTGGAGCATTTCTCAGCGTCTCTGTAATGGAGCCCGAAGTTTTTCCATCTTTTGTAAATCAAAACTAATCCTAGGAAACCTGGCCCCAGCTCTCGGCCTTGTACCTTGCAGGTATCATGTGCGCATTCTCTTCCGTGTCACCTTCGTCGCACTCCTCACCGAGATGGGGGTGCCGGGAGCCCCCAGGGCCATGGGTGACGTGCAGCCCAGCTCACCCGGGGTCAGATGTCTCCCAACTCGTGAGGTTCATCTGGACCAGACAGAGGATAAAAATTGTCTTAGCAGAGGAGAGACCCAAAGAGGCTATGAAAACCCATGTGGGAGAGGAAAGGCTGACGTTGAAGTGGCTTATAGTTGTCAAGGCAACCACAGATGTCTACATCTTGGCAACGTTCAGGATTACAATGCGATCCTTAATGCAATATTCACGGCTGTGTTTTAAAACTCCGAGAACTGCCACCTGACTGTTAGAACTGTACCCTGTAGGCCTTTCTTCTAAACCAACTGTCCCCAACGGCCAAGGACTGGTGCAGAGACAGGAGCTGGTTTAGATCTGGACTCTCACTTTGACCAGATCGTGCCTGGCCCATCGTACAAGCTCAACAATATATTTTTACTAAATGAGAAAGCATGGCCTTTATCCTGTAGACGCTATTTACGGGTTCCTGTGTACAGCTATGGCCCTCAATTAATGGGAAATTTATCTCTACCCTGTCATTAAATAATCATAGCAAGGGCAGAGGAGGTAAGACGTGGCCAGAGGGCCCTGAGCTGTTGTCAAGGGCACTGGCTCCGGGCCTGGTTTTCCTGTTTGTTAATCTGTTGCTGAAGCTGCGTGCCTTGGGCAGACTCTCTCCACCCTCCCAGGCCTTGGCTTCCCCACTGGGAAAGTGAGACTTAAATTAGATGATCCTTGTCTAAGCCCAGATACGCTATGATTTCAGTCCTGAGCGATCACGCCAGGAGAAGAGAGCCTCACCCACTCCAACACGGTCGCCAGCGGCCTGGCCCAGAATAGGATCCAGGAAACAGGAACCAGAGCACAGGATGGTCCTGCCAAGAGGATTCTGACAGCGCTTAATGGCTTAAAGATCACCAACAACACGACGAGCCAGGTGCTTGTAAACTAGAGGCTGTCATAAAACAAAGGCGGGTGGAAAGTGCAGGCGTGAGTTCAGCTGGCAGGGACCACCTGTCCTGTGCACAGCAGGAGACAGACCGCGTGCCCCTGGGCTCCGGGGGGCTGCACGCGGTGAGGACAGAGACAGGCCCAAGGCCAGCCCACGGAGGACGCTCAGAACCAGACAGAACATCCCGTCCGGCCCTCACTTCACCCTATAAACTCAGAAACTGAGGCCCAAAAAGGTTAAAAAAAGTTGGCAGGGTCACATGCCTTGCATGGGTTTGAACTAAAATTCAAATAGCTTTATTTTCAGGCCCTCATGATTTAGCCTCCAGGGAGGAGTTGGTTCCCACAGTTGGTGTGTGAGGCCAGGTCAAGGTCAAGGTGACGGCCACGACCAGTTCAGCAAGTGACTTGGGCCACGACCCACTCAGGGAAGCCACAGCCAGGGTGAGTTACGGGGTGATCCACACACAGGTCAAGTCTGCTGAGGGGCCAGGCCCACAGGACGCATCCAAACATGGGCTCTGAGGTCCAATTCTTTTTTTTTTTTTATTCAAGTATAATTGATGTACAATGTGACATGTTACAGGTGTACAATATAGTAATTCACAATTTTTAAAGGTTACACTCCATTTATAGTTATTATAAAATATAGGCTGTATTCCCTGTGCTGTACAGTCTATCCTTGCAGTTTATTTTATACCTAATAGCCTGTACCTCTTACTCCCCTCTCTGTATATTGCCCCTTCCCCCTTCCCTCTCCCCGCTGGTAACCACTAGTTTGTTGTCTACATCTGTGAGTCTGCTTCTTTTTTGTCATATTCACTAGTTTGTTTTTAGATTCCACATATAACTGACATCGTACGGTATTTGTCTTTCTCTATCTGACTTATTTCACTTAGCATAATGCCCTCCTAGCCCACCCATGTTGCTGCAAATGACAAAATGTCATTTGTTTATATGGCTCAGAAGTATTCCATTGTATATATAGGTACCACATCTTCTTTATCCATTCATCTGACGATGGACACTTAGGTTGCTTCCATATCATGGCAATTGTAAATAATGCTGCTATAAACATCTTTTCTAATTAGTATTTTCATTTTTTTTGGATGTATACCCGGGAGTGAGATTGCTGGGTCATATGGTAGTTCTATTTTAAGTTTTTAAAGGAACCTCCACACTGTTCTCCATAGTGTCTGCACCAATTTACATTCCCACCAGCAGTGCACAAGGGTTCCCTTTTGTCCACACCCTCGCCAACGTGTGTTATTTGTGTTCTTTTTGACAATGGCCATTCTGACAGATGTGAGGTTATCTCTCACGGTGGTTTTGATTTGCATTTTAAGGTCCAGTCTTCCTAAGCACGTGGAGGTCAGGAGCAGGCTCTAGAATCCAGTGCGGCTCGGTTCTCACCTCCTTGTTCCTGAGAGCAGACACAGTCAGGGCTGAGAACCAGGGTGACATCTGGGCCCAGAGACCTGCTCTGACAATAACTAGGCGTTTGAACAAGACAAGGCCTGGAAAACCACAACGATTTTCCCCAGGACGTTCAATTCTGTGTTTACTTGAAATCAAGAATATGTTTGTGTTGGCTCCCCAGGCTTCCTGGAAAACCCCAGATTCTCCCATTCACAGCCATGTGTCCACAATTCTGTTATAATGAAGGACCTTACAACTTATCACCCAGGCTGAAACCATATATGGAATCTAAGAGAGAAAAAAAATGTCATGAAGAACCTAGGGGTAAGATGGGAATAAAGACACAGACCTAGTAGAGAATGGACTTGAGGATATGGGGAAGGGGAAGGGGAAGCTGGGACGAAGTGAGAGAGTGGCATGGACATATATACACTACCAAACGTAAAATAGATAGCTAGTGGGAAGCAGCCACATAGCACAGGGAGATCAGCTCGGTCCTCTGTGACCGCCTACAGGGGTGAGATATGGAGGGTGGGAGGGAGACGCAAGAGGAAGGGGATATGGGGATATATGTATATGTATAGCCGATTCACTTTGTTATACAGCAGAAACTAACACACCATTGTAAAGCAATGATACTCCAATAAAGATGTTAAAAAATAAAAGAGAGCAATGACCATAAAAGACACTCTGAGACAACAGGCATGTACCTACTGTCACCTGGGGAGTCCGATTTCATGTGTCACCCAGACGGGGCTGAGGGATGCTGGGAGAGCTGGGAAAACGGTATTTCTGGGGGCGTCTGGGTGGGTGTGTCTGGAAGAGATCAGCATTTGAGGTAGTAACTGAGTAAGACCACCCTCCCCAGTGTGGGCGGCTTCATCCAGTCCTTTGAGGTCCTTCATAGAACACACGAGTGTAGGAAGGGACAACGCTCTCTCTCTTCTTGAGCTGGGACGTCCATCTCCTTCTGCCCTCAGACGTCGGGGCCCCTGGTTCTCGGAAACTGCACTTGGACCAAGTCCCACCACCGGCTGTCCTGGTCCCCAGCTTGCAGACGGCTGATGGTGGGGGCGGGGAGCTTCTTGGGCTCTGTAACCCCACGGGCCACTTCCTATAATAAACCGCCCCTTGTGCCGTCTGTCCATCCGTCTGTCCTCTGGAGGACCCTGACTACCACACCCTCACTACAACCAGCATGAGCCCAGCCCCAAGGATGGGGAAGTTGTTACCTCACATCTTGGGGAAGCAGAACCGTTTGGGGGCCCAGATGTACTTCATAAAAAGTGAAACACTCAAGAGGCGCTCTCTCTGTGAGGATGACTTTTTTCCTCCAAAAGACTAGTATTTTTCCTTCGGGTCTGATTAAAAGCTGAGCTCACAGGGTTTTGCTATTTTCCCCATGAGCGCTGCACTTTCTTTTTTTCATGCTCATGAGGAGCTTTCACAGAATCATCTCACTTGATTTGAGCGTTACGTTGTCCTCCTTCTTTAAAAGATTCCTTTTCTCATACAGACTATTTTACTTGGAGAAGACGAGAAAAAAATGTACAGATGATGCCCCCAGTGGTAAAGTATCCTAAGTTCATGGAACGGTTATTTACATAAAATTCTAATTTCAGCCAATTAGGTATAAAACTGCAGACCTAGGGCCTGCAGCAGGCCTAGGGCCTAAAAGTACTCAATTATCCATAAATTAAAAGATGACCTTCCGGGTTTCCCTGGTGGCGCATGGTTGAGAGTCCGCCTGCCGATGCAGGGGACGCGGGTTCGTGTCCCGGTCCGGGAAGATCCCACATGCCACAGGGCAGCTGGGCCCGTGAGCCATGGCCGCTGAGCCTGCACGTCCGGAGCCTGTGCTCCGCAACGGGAGAGGCCACAACAGTGAGAGGCCCGCGTACCGCAAAAAAAAAAAAAAAGATAACCTTCCTGAGTTGAATTTGGCACTGATTTTAGAAATTTGAGCAAATTATTTTCAATAATGCACATAAATAAGGCTATTATTATTCTTCCCCAGGAGAGGCAGAAACTGTGTCTCATTTTATTTTTATTTTAAACAACTATTCCTGGGGCTGGCATAGAATAGACACATGATAAATACTCCTTATTTGATTGTCTGAAAGAAAATTAAATGAACTGACCTAAGAGATGTGGTCCAGTCAGGAGTGGAACCTGCTTTAATGCTGTGAAAAGTAAAGATACAAGTGTCAACTCTTGACTTTTTTGATGTACAAATGAAATGATGTTAAAGTATCAAAAATTAACAATATATAAATATTGATTATTATTATTACCCCATTCTAGTTTTGTAATTCAGCGTTAACATTTTATTATGAATTGTCTGCAGATTATCAAGTAGTCCTTTAGCCCAAAGTTTCTTGAACATTTTAGTCAAACTTTTTGGACCCCTATGTGCCCTTAAAAATATCCCAAACAGCTTTTACTTATGTGGGTTATAGATCTACCTACATGTACCACACTAGAAATTTTAATTCACTTTAAGGTAACAAAACCTAACCCATTTTATGTTAACACAAATAACATATTTATGAAAAATAACTGTATTTTTGAAAACAAAACAATAGGTAGAGTGGCTCTCTTTTATGTTTTTACAAATCTCTCTGACGTTTGGTTTAAGAAAAGACAGCTGAGGGTGTGTTTCTGCATTCAATTTGTTGCAGTCCAATTCTTGGCTGAAATGTGTGGGAAAGATCCAGTCTCACGTTGACAGACAGTTTAAGACTGCGTGGATCTTAGCAGCCTTTTCAGAAGTGAATAGTGTTTTCTTTTACTGCAAACACCATCTGGTAATTTCTTAAAGATTAGTTGCAATGTGGAATCCAAAACCATACCAATGACCTTTACACGCCTGTTACGTTACATCCTTTGGCCTCTCTTGCAGCTTCGATGCGCCTTCTACCCATGGACGATTTGTAACATCCTGTGTTGGCCACTGGAAAATAAGACTTCACTGAATTTACACAGAATCTTCCAAATCCCATCATACGGTAGCAAAAACTCACACTGTCGATATAGCCACCGACCTCATCAGTATTATGAAAATGATTCTTGACACCCAGACTCTGTAAGCGGGCATCAGAAACTTCCAGGCCACTCGGGACCACATTCAGAAGTGCCGTTTTAGCCTCTGCTGAAGCTGCGAACCTTCCAGGCTTTGGAAATCCTGACAAAGTGACTATGCAACGTACGGCCACTAGAGGGCGCACAAAACTGGCAGAACCATCAAAAATGGATTCATACCAATTTCTTTAAGAAGAAATTCAAAAGCGTTTTATAAGAGAGAGGAAAAACACCATAAGCAAATTTAAATAATTATATTACCAATAATCTTTTGCAATTTTGAAAAAAAGTTACATTAATCCTAACTTGGTTCCAGCTAGTCACAGTAGTTGTGTCAGAAACACATCAGTGTAAAAGCTCCAAGCTGAGTAACGGCAGGTTAGCTATTTGCAGTAACTCTTATACTGAAAGTAAGCCTTTAAAAATCTGAGGGTGTGTGTGTGTGTGCGCGCGCGTCTGTGTGTACACACTGGGACATTCAATTTTATGTGTTAACTTGGCTAGGCCGTGGCACCCAGATGTTTGGTCAAACACCCACGTAGCTGTTCCTGTGAAGGTATTTTTTGGATGGGGTTAACATTTAAATCAGTGAACTCTGAGTGAAGCCGATTATCCTCCGTGATGTGAGTGGGTGGGCCTCGTCCAATCAGTTGAAGGCCTTGATAGAAAAAGACCAAGGTCCCCATAAACACGGGGTCCGCCAGCAGACCCCCTTCAGGCTCGAACTACAGCTCCCCCCTGGTCTCCAGCCTGCCGCCTGCCCTCCAGATTCTGGACGTGCCAGCCCCACAGTCGTGCAAGCCAGTTTCAGTCTCTCTCTAGCTCGGTTTTTACACTGATTTTATGTGTTACATCCTGTTGGTTCTGCTTCTCTGGAGAACCCTGCCAAGCACACACATGCACACACGCGCACAGACACACAGGCCGACGAGGAATTCCACAAGGAACAGCAGCCTGAAGCGGAGGGAATAAGGAAGCCCCGTCCATGACGGCTGGTCACACGTAACTGTCATTTGACAGCCTCACGTAGAAGGCAGAAATCAAAATCCCACGTCCGGAATGAGGTGAGGAATCCAGTAGGCGACCCCCCAGGAGCTCCCCAGGGACCCCCTCAGGATGGGGACACGGTGGGTGCAATAGTACAGCCTCAGGTCAGGTCCCGTGTACCCTCCGGAGGACAGTAAGCCCTGACCTTGGCTAAAGGGAGTCCCACCCACCCACACGATGCCCCGCAGACGTAAATGTAAATAACATCCGAAAAAGGGCATCTCATCTGTGGGGAAAATTATTCCTCCAAATACAATGACTAGTATCTTGTCAAAGATAAAGTAATGTCCGTGAAAACTACCGACGAAAACAGATCCACAGAGACTTCACTTATGGCCACCGTCGGGCAGACTGTAACAAAAACGCTACAGCCTCAGCCGTCAGGGAAACGCAGACCAAAACACAGCGAGGTGGCCCTTCACCCCCTCTACGGCAGTGAGCAGGACAGACGGGGACAGGCCGGGGGGCCCCGAGGAGGAATTTCAGTGATGCACCCACGTTGGCGAACAGTCTGGCCGCTCCTCAAAGCATCTGACACAGAGACGCTGGGTGAAAGGATCACGTGTCCATAGGACACTGGGATCCCAGCATTCCCAGAAGCATTCCTCATAATATCCAAAAGAGTGGAAACAACTAACTGATTCATGGATAAAACAAAATGTGGTCTAATCACAAAGACCACATGTTGTGTGATCCCATTTTATGAAACGTCCAGAACAGGCAAATCCACAGAGGCTGAAAGTAGATTCGTGGTCGTCTGGGGCTGAGAGATTGAGGAAGAATGGTACAGGGTCCCTTCTGGGGTGATGCAGATGTCCTAAAATGGACTGTGATGGTTGCACAACCCTGTAACTATACTAAAAGCCATTGCATTTTATACTGTAAATGGGTGAATTGTATGGTATGTGAATTATGTCTCAACAAAGCTACAGTAGAGTGAAAAAATATGTGAAAATGTTGAAATAAGTAAGAGACAATCCTGAAGATATCTAAGATAACAGGAAAACATATCAGATTTTAAAAACAACTAAATAGAGCTTTTAGAAATAAAAATTAAATGACCAAAATCAAAAACACAATGGATGGATTTTACTGCAGAGTTGGCACAAAAATATAAATATGTGGCATTTAAATCAGAATAAATTATCCAGAGGCAAAAATTAGAGAGTGACACGGAGATGACAGATGCAGACAGTGGAATTTTTCCAGAATGGATGAAAAATACCAATCCTCAGACCCCAGACTACTAACATATCCCAAGAAGATTCAATGGTAGAAATCCACACCTAAACTGATCATAAGGAAACTGCAGAAAACCAGATACAAATTAAATCCTATCAGAAGGCAGAGGAAAAGAAGGGATTTCCTCAGTCATGACGTGTGGGAATGAGCTGACCTCTGACCAGCCACAAGGCCAAACGGCAACCACGGTGCACAGAGAGCACACAGCCACCAACTTAAAACTCCACAGCCAGAGACGTGATCTTTCAAGAATGAGGCAATGTCAGTGGTATTTTCAGACAAAGAGAAAGTAAGACATTTTGCCACCAGCAGAAAATACTAAAGGACGCAATTCAGGCAGAAGGAGCACAGCCGGAAGAAAAGTCTACAGGACAAAAATACATAAGGGACAGAGAAAGTAAGAAATGGTCCCAACTCTACATAAACGAACATCCATCAAATTCATGGAAACTTTTTTAAATTGGGATGAATTTTTAAGACTTTCATGACATCCTAATGGGGTATTTATGAGGAATGGCCCATACAACTGGAATTTACCTCATTGGCAGGACATATTTATTTTAGAAAAATTAGGGAAAACTGCTCGGGGCATGCATGACCCAGGGCTGTGTATTCCTTCAGGCCAAGTTCAGCGGCCTTTAAGCCAAAATGGCTTTTACATTTTTAAAGGGATGTTAAAACAAAACAAACAAAAACAAAGAAGTCTATGTCACAAAGACCAGTAGGTCCACCAAACTTAAAATACTTATTCTCTGGCCCTTTACAGACAAAGCTGGCTGACTGCTGGTCCAGATCATCTAAGTTATAGGATGGTGTTTTTTTCTTTCCTGTCGTAGATGCAAAAAGTTAATTAAAAGAGCAGTTTGTTGTCCTCAGGCGGAGAAAATGTGTAAAGTGTGCTGGGGGTAAGCGGTAGGAAGTCGACTTATGAATTAACCCCCCAGGCGCCCATGCTGACCTGCCACCTGAAAGGGGTGTCCCCAGACCCCTGTCGGGTAGGCAGCCAATCGGCATCACCATTCGCCTCACGCTTCTGGCCCTCGTGCCGGAAAGCACAGCTTTCCAATCTTAAGTGACACACAGAAAGTCTATCGTGCAGGACTTCCCTGGGCGCAGTGGTTAAGAATCCACCTGCCAGTGCAGGGGACATGGGTTCGATCCCTGGTCCAGGAAGATCCCACATGCTGCGGAGCAACTAAGCCTGTGCGCCACAACTACTGAGCCTGCGCTCTAGAGCCCGTGAGCCACAACTACTGGAGCCCACGTGCCACAGCTACTGAGCCCATGAGCCACAACTACTGAAGCCCGGGCGCCTAGAGCCCATGCTCCGCAACAAGAGAAGCCACCCCAGTGAGAAGCCCGCGCACCACAACGAAGAGTAGCCCCCGCTCGCCGCAACTAGAGAAAGCCTGTGCGCAGCAACAAGGACCCAATGCAGCCAAAAAAAAAAAAAAAAGTCTGTCGTGCAATCAAGCAAAGTCTAGAATCACAATGACCAAGGTGTGTGGATTCAGCGTGAGTGTGATGCTTTCACTCTTCCTAAGTCAAGTGTGGAGGATGAAGCCATGGGAACTGGGTGACTTACCTGCCAAAAGTTTTCTTCTCCAAATAAATGGGAAAACCAATGATGACTTAATGGCAGCCCAGAATCTGTATGTATGGATTTACATTTGAAAATACAAATGAAGTGTTTTAGAGGTAAACCCTTCTAAAAACATTTGAGGGTGTGACGGAAGAATGCAGTATAAACTCTAGAGACAGTCTCTGTATAGCCAACCTGGGGGCATCACCTTTCAAGTGACAAGTCAGCATTGGCTCCTGGGGTTTTAATTAGTGCCTCAACCCCTGCCACATACGCCAGCTCTCACCACACACTCCCTTTGCCTGAGAGAAACACTACATCCCAGGCACTAGCAGGGAAAGAAGGATCTAGAATATTCATTCTTCTTTCTTCTCTCCAACAATGTCAGTTCAATTCATGTTTGTTGCATTCCTCTATCAAGCAACCTAATTTTCAACCACGTCAAATATTTACGTGAAGAACATTAGCTGGTGTGTTAGCTGGGAGTTTCGGGATAATTAGCTCAGAATGATCTATAACATTCGTAGTATTTACCCCGCTACTTCAGACAGTCCAGGACCCCATGCCCGCTGAAGGGCTCCGTGTCCCAGCGCTTACTTATTCTTGCAAACAAAGAAGAAACTGGGTTTGTGTGCTAGGTTTTCCCGCCAGCAAAATTCTGTGTTGAAATAGTTGACCCATACCAGCTGGTGTACCCAAGACACTACATAATTTTTTTTTTTTTTTTTTGCAAAAACATAACTGTGCTCCCGGAAAGGCGGTGACATTTCAAAATCCAGCCCTCTCTCTGGTGCAGGCTGCACAGGATCCCAGAGAGAGAAAATGGCCCTAAAGATGTAGTCCGGCCCCTCCTGGCACAGACTAGGAGGCTGACGTCCTCAGGAACGAACCCGGCTCACCCAGAGCCCGTGGTACCCACATCCGCTGCCCCGAAGGTCCCCGTCACTTCTCTGGGTCAGCTTCCGGGAAACCCAAAGGGACGGTGTGCCAGCTTCCTTGGGCCAAGTTCCTCCGTGAGTCTTTATCCTATGACCGCCTGTCATTTGCCTTTTAAATTAAAGAATGGCCGCCACATGTAAACCTTTTCCCCCGAGAGAGAAGGATGCTCCAGAAATATACCTACGGGAATATTCGCTTACTTAACTTTCAACATGATTTGAAATTTTGAAGAGAAGGATGTTGGGTTAACACAGATGAACAAATCCAGTGCGTGAGGGGGCCAGGCCCTCTGCTGGGGATTAGCCATTTCAGACAAAATGTGCATTACTTCTGAAAAATCGTCTGCCAGGGCCAGAGAGGCCCGTGAAAGGAAGGGCCCAGGACACGGGGGTGTGTAATGAAGAGGACGTGGGCCTGACCGGCCCCCTGGAAACCACGTGGGCCCTTCCGAAGCCCACACCTGTCCACCAGCCCCTGCTACTGTGCACCCACTACGTGCGGGCACTGTTCACATTTGTGGTCAAAACACCAGAGGTCACAGTAAGACAGGACCCAGAGAGTTCACACAGACATGCTGGCTGGTGGTCTGCACTGCGGGGAAGCAGAGCAGGGAAGGGGCCCGGAGCCCGGCCGGCTTGCGGGCTTGGAGAAGCAGCTGGAGAAGCATCTCGTCAGAAGGAGATACTGTCGGATAAATTAGACAGAGGCATCACTTCCTCAGTATTCCATGAACTTGTGGTTGCCAAATGGGAACACTTCCTCGAGTGTTCTGCTTAGGTTCCTAATTTTTTATATTATAAATCCTGGATATAATTTTTCTAGCCTCCTTAATAACTGTGGGCTGCTATGTGGGATTTTCCAAAAGGCCCCTATTGATAGCAGGAAGCCACATTTGTTCACTCCTGAGGGTGACTTTCACACACCGTGGTGGGCACACACGAAGGAGCCTATCGTGTGTCGTGTTATTAACAGAAATGTGTGTCCCTGGAGGATTTAACTCGTCGTAGGGCGTGTGTCACCTTTGAAAATAGAGATGCATCTCTATTCTCTAATTAACAAGCATTTATTGTGTGGATGCACTTTAAGTAATGTTACGTGTACATAAAAGGGTTTTGAAAGTATCTTACATGCCCTGATCTATGTTATAGTAGCTGTAATGTCATTTAAAACATTTGGCCCTTTCCCCAATTCAACGTCCTGAGTATTCAGTTCACACTTGGCTCTAAAGTGTAATGTCTACCGTTGTCCAGCAGATGGTGGTATTGGACGCAGCGCTGCCCATCACAGCCTGGGACGCGGGCCTGGAGTTCTAGACAGACCCCCGGAGGCCCCAGAATCGTCCCATCCGGCGGAGGAGGCCCGAGCATTTTCCCCCTGCTTGTTCTGAGGCGAGAATCCAGGCTCACAAATGCAGGGGGTGCAGTGGACTCGAGGTGCGGTGAGCTCTGGCCAAAACTGGAGCGGACAGAAAAAAACGCTTTCTCCCACTTAAAAGTCAGGTGAGGTACCAAGGACATGCGGGTTTATACAGAGACTGCACATGGAATTCGAAACGGAAAGGTATAAATTATCTCTCTAAATAGAAGAGCAGCAGTGGGACCGGCTGCGCCGGGTGGGCACCTTCCACCGGCTTCTTCGCCCAGGTTCTCTCTCCACCTCCAGGGCTGCATCTGCCATGTCAAACGTATTTGCCTCTGTGATGGTTGGTTTCATGTGTCGACTCCACGGGGCCCAGGGCTGCCCTGATTTCTGAGTAAACATCATTTCTGGGTGTGTCTGGTGGCATCCCCCCATCCACTGTGGGCCCGAACAGAACCAAAAGACAAAGTGGGGCACAGGCACTCTCTCTGCCTTTCTGCTTGAGCCCAACATCTGTCCCGGGCACTCCTGGCTCCCAGGCCCTCAGACTCGGACTGGGGTCTACACAGCAGCCCTCCAGCTCTCAGGCCTCAAGCTGCCCCCTCGGCCACCCTGCACCTTCAGCTCCAAGACAGCTCATCACAGGGCTTCTCTGTCTCCAGCGTCACGTGAGCAAATACTTTACGACAAGTCTCTTTCTAGAAATAGATGTAGTTATGTATGTATACAGACACAGATGTTCATCTATGTATCTATATTGATATCAGTATCTATCTAT